TTTAAACTGCATCTTCCAAATTACTGAACGGATCTGGGTGAATTTTGGATATGTGGTTTACCCAGTTCCCCCGGTTCCGATGATATATATATATATATATATATATTTTTTTTTTTTTTATGGGGTTATTGCATGTTTTGGGGTCCCTGTGATATGTTTTATAATACTGTATTTCTCTGCCTGTGATAATTAGATTAACCATTGTGTTCGGTAATCATATCACAGGCAGAGGGGAGGGTTTTGTGTGGGAGTGTCTGTGTGTAATGTACGTGTGTTATTGGTTGTTCTGTAAAACCCTGTGGGCAGTACTAAGTTTGTGGATTGGGAATAAAAGAGGCTGTATGTGCCAGTACAGTCAGTTCTGCTTGACCTCAAAACGAAGTGTCGTCTCGTTATTGGGGGAATTGGATTGTATGTTGATTGCCAGGAGTGTAAGCTAATAATATGCTTTTCCTGTTCAGCTGCTTACAGCCTTCATATGCTTGAGAGCATTCGTATGCTTCTCTGGTTCGGTGGTTGTGGTGTCTGCTGCAGTGCTTGGAGTCCTTAGGAAGCGCTAGGAGCATCCTTCAACGGAGGTACCCAGTCGGGGTGCCAGGTGATCCGTTACAAATATTTCAAGGGCTGCTCTCCTCCATAGTGTATTCAGAAATGCTGAGAGGAAGTGATCTGAGATAGTCCAATATACTGAGATTGTTTGCGTTTGGCTGCCTTGTGTGCTGTGCAAAGCCAGCTCCAGGATTTATTTTGAATTCCTGAGAATGAACGCTCTAGGGCAGGGCTAACCAACCTTTTAGCAGCACTGTGTAAAAATATGACTTTAACATTTTTTTTTTAAATCAACATGTGTGTGCGTTATCATATTTAGCATGTGTTATGTATGGATGCTGTAGCTGCTTTGTAGAGTTTCATTTTTTTTGTATGCAGGATGAGTTATATTGTGTGTGAGCAGATTGTGGTATTGTGTGTTACATATGTATGTTGCGTGCGTATCATGTTGTATTTGTGAATGTGCGCTGTGCATGGGAAACTGCATGTGGTATTGTGTGCTTAGATATGTCATATTGTGTGTGGTGTTATTTGTAAGTGTCGTGGCTGACCATGGGTTGTATGTGTGTATGTGGACTGCCAGTCGTGCTGTGTTTGTGAGGGCTGCTTCTGAAGCTGTGTATGTTGGTGTGTGGGCTGTTATATGAGGGAGACTTTTTCTGCAGTTGTATTTCAAGGGCTGCGGGGCTGCTCTCCTCCATAGTGTATTCAGAAATGCTGAGAGGAAGTGATCTGAGATCGTCCAATATACTGAGATTGTTTGCGTTTGGCTGCCTTGTGTGCTGTGCAAAGCCAGCTCCAGTGCCATGGAGTTTATGTGTGCCATATCTTGGTGACCCCTGCTCTATAACCCTCCAACTGAGTTGAAACCCAAGTTGTAAATAACATAACTGACTTTTTTGAAGAATGGCTTCTTAAAGGACAACTGTTACCAAATTATCACTTGTTATGTTTTAAAGTATGTTACATTTTACAACAGGTTTTTTTTTTTAATGTGCAGTGCCGGATTAACATAGGGGCTGATGGAGCTGCAGCTCCAGGCCCAGGCCCAGGCCCATGGAATAGGCCCATTGATTGGAAGAAAAAAAATAAAAATACATTTATTTGGGGGGGAAAAAATACATTTATGGTCTTTGAGGCTGCCTGGCTAGTGCCAGTATTGCAGTAAAACCGGCAACACAAATGCCGGCATATTTCTTAGTATTAACAGAGATTACTCTGCAATACCTGTGCCGGACAGTAGGTGTCACTGTGTATAAAGAGAGGCAGTGATAGGAAGTTACAGCATATCCCTCCCTGCCTCTCTCTACTCACTGATCCGTGGGGGAGCAGCTACATAGCGCAGAGAGTTCAGACAGCAGCTCCCAACCTGCAGAGACAGCCTACAGCTCAGGGAAGTGAGGGATAGGGTAAAGGCTGCAGGGAGACATGGGGACACTGGGAAACACTAGGAGACACTGAACTGGGAACACTTGGGGACACTGGAAGATCAGGGGACACTGGAGACATGGGGACACTGAGAAGACACTAGGCACTTAGGGACACTGGAAGATCAGGGGACACTGGAGACATGGGGACACTGAGAGACACTAGGCACTTAGGGACACTGGGAGACATGAGGACACTGAGACACTGTGTCCCTAGCATCTGTGTCCCCATGTCTCCCAATGTCTCCAAGTCTCTCATTGTCTCCATATCTCCCAGCCAGTCTCCCTAGTGTCTCAGTGTCCGCATGTCTCCCAGTGTCCCTATGTCTCAGTGTCTCCTAGTGTCCCAATGTCTCACAGTGTTCCCATGCCTCTTAAGATACTGGAATACTAGGGGACACTAAGACACTGGAAGACAGGGAGACACTGGGAACAATCCATCTTTAATTCAGCATTAATTGTAAGTAGTTTTTTGGGGATTTTACAGAATTTTCTCTTAGGTCACTCGTGATTTACACGTATACATAATTAATTATGCAAATTAGTAAGGCCTGTATTTTTTTCCAAGAAAGGTGGCAACCCTAACTATCCTTCATATACTCTTGCTTAAACATGGAAACTTTAGAGGGATGTATGGGAACAAAACTTGTGTGGACTGGCTGACAATGGAATTAGTTAAGGTAAAGCTGACTTTGTGCACAATGCATATATTTTTGCTGCTTCAGTCTATCTAACACTGTGTCATGTTCC